GGTCCTGTGTACACTTTCTATGGAGTAATTATTGTTAGTGTCCCCTTAGTCTCATAAATGTCCCAGAGTCACTTGGTTGTCCCCACCTGGCTCCTGGCATTCCCCAGGTGAGGGCCTCCAACTTGCCTGCCTCTGGGCTGGTCTCTGGCTCAGGGAGAGATTTCTGCTGACCATGCCTCATCTTTGCCTTGTGGTGTCACTTTCATCATATAAGTTTTAAAAACCTGAACATGTACCAAGAGGCCTTTAGGAATCACATTTACTTCAGAATTGGAAAGGAAAAGTGAAGTATTTGGGGTAGTTATAAATCACCTCTGTTTTGATTTTTGGAAACTCCATGTGATTGCACTGTTTTTTCAGTAAGTAAAAAGACTTCTTGGAAGAAGGAAAAGGAAAAAATAGCTATTCTGTGGATATCCATTTTAAATTTATTCTTACCTGTAGGGTGGTCAAGTGAAAGCTTCTTAGAACCCTTAAGTACAGAAAAGAGGAATGTTTGGTGGAAGGAAAACAGCGGCCATGGCATTTACAGGGAACAGTCATCAGGTAGCCGTATACATGGTGACTATGGGTCTGCCCTGTGCCAGGCAGTATCCAGGCACTGAAGAGACCACAGAGAACAAGGCAGGCAAAAAATACTGGTGGGAAGACTCTAATGTGGGAAAATGCTGGAAACCATTGTTTGAAAAGACTTTATCCTTTCTATTCCTCTTCCTGGCCAGACATACCCAGGGAGTGAGAGGAACTGGAGGAGGGCTTTTGGACTGTAAGGAGGTGTATTCTGGGCAGCCAGAGCAGTGCCAGAGAAGGCCAAACAGATGCATTTGCTTTAGTACCTTCTTTGTGCCAGGCAGTAGGCCAGCCACCATAGGGAGTGATGGTGTGGCTCAGTGATTGGGTGAGGGTGGAAAGACCAGAGTGTTTATGCAAAGTGAGCAGATGCCCCAATCCCGTGTGAGGGGTTTGGGATGCATTACAGAAGGCTGATCCAAAGTACCCCAGGGCTCAGTGCTGGGAATCTGCAGTCTGGCTTTTCTTTATGGTTTTCCATGTAACCAGGCAGGTTACTTGGTAATTATGAAGTGGGTGATTTACTTTCTCTGGGACTCAATTTCCTCATTTGGAAATGGAGGATTGGAGTGGGTTAAGTTCTTGACCTTTCCCTTTCCAGTTCATCCTTCAAAGATTTATGAGTCAGCAAATTTTAAGTTCAGATATTAATTAGAGGATGTGTTCTTCATGTACAGTTTATAGAGGATACATAGTGCATAAATATGTGTACAGACGTGTATATATGTGTGTATATGTCTAGCCACCTTTTCCTAGACTGTGGGCAAGATAAAGACCTTGGAACTTTTTACATCTTACTCATCTCTACTGTATATGTATTTAGTGTATGCTCTATCTCTATGAGACCCAATCAGAGAGAGCTGTGCATTGCCAGTCCCACAATTTCATACCTCCCCATTTCTCTCAGCACAAAGTACACCTGCTTTCTCTGGCCTATATGTCTCTTCTGACCTGGCCAGCCTCATTTTTTCACGAGTGCCCTATGGCCAGGCCAGAATAAAATGAATCCCATTTCTCTCACTGTTGAGAGTAGGCATGGGCTTTTCTTCTGCTCTGCAATGGGCTGTATCTTGGATGTTGTATCTTTCCAATCACCTTAAGGACAGGAGCTGTTCCATTTTATGTACTATTCTGGGCTCAGCATATAGCACTGTGCCTGGTCTGTTGCAGGAGCTGAATTGAATATCTGATAAATAAAGAAAGGAATAACTGTAAGGAGGGCTTCCATTTCTCCTTTCCCATGGGCCTGGGATTCTGCAGATATTATTAAGCTTCTGCAGATAGTAATGGCTCTAAGACTTCAGAAGAGGGACTAGAATTAAACTGGGCTTGGAGGCTGAGCAGAAGAGAGGAGCATAATATGCCTGGTGGTGACTTGTGCCTTAGTTCAGTGTCCATCACTGTGGTGTTGGCCAAGGGCTCCTCTGAATCCAATGGCAGCCATGGGCTATTCCTATAGGTGCTATGCTGTGATGTTCAGAGGATCTTACCCTCTCTCCCCAGAGCACATGGAACTCAGGATGAGAACTTCTGCTTTGCACAGTGTCCACTGTGACAGATTTTGCAAGTGCTTATTAAGACTATACCATGTGCCAGCTACTTTTACTAGTTGCCAGGGATGTAAAGATAAGTACCATTCAAGGAAGGAAAGAGGACAGGGATCTATTTTTTGCACATCTATGTGGAGCTCAGCACTCTTCAAGCCCTTTTATGTAGGTTATAATCTCATAACAATGCTTAGGAAGTAGATACTGTCCCCTTCCCACTTCATAGGAGGACACTGAGTCTCAGAGTTTAGGTTTTTCTTTCTAACCTTGTACTTCCCAAGAATACATCTTACTTTTGTTCTCTGGCTCTTCCTACATACAGCTGCTCTGACAATCTCTATCGGCCTCATTGGCCTTGGCATCAGCTCGGTCCCTGGGCCTCTCACCAGGGGAGGCCAGCTGGACATGCTGTCTGTCGGGACAGACTCTGCATCAGAATGTCCAGCAGCCAGGACCACTTTGCAGATAACTCTAACAGGTTGGGAAATCCAGATCTTGGGTCAAAATCATTTCCAAGGCACCTGGTTATCAGCAACTTTTCTGGCTTTTTGTGAACCACTGTGTGACTCCCAAACTTCAAGTCTGGTGTTCATTTTTGAGCACCCAAGTCTTGGCTCTGGTGGGGCAGTGGCCTTTGTTCAGAGCTAAGTGAGGTGACAGAGAGGCTCTCATTGAGGCAGCACTAACCTTGCATTTTGTTCTGAAGGTTGAACTGAGCCCAGTGTGATTCATAAGCCAGCACTTTGTCATTTGTGTTTCTTTTTGATGTAAGCCCCAGAACTTTTTGTTTTGTTTTGTTTTTTAAAAAATGTCATTGTTATAAAATCTACAGTTGACTTAACAATTTAACTCTTTGCATAGGCTTCATCCTTTCACTGCTCTTTTCTAAGGATAAGCCAGAGGTGACCTTCCTGCCCCTTGAGGCTAATGCAATGTAGTGGCCAGTGCTGGCCATCTGTGCTGGCTCTGTCATTAGCTCTCCATGTGCAGTCTCCTTCATGGCTCTCTCTACATAGTGGACTGTCACTGAGATGTGGGTGAAGGATGGGTTGGTACAGAAATGCCTGGAGAGAGAACTGAGAGGAAGCCTCACAGCAGAGGTTCTGTGGAAGGTAAGTCTGGAAGATCTATCAGGCAGTCAGGAGAAAGGAGGAAGAGCTTATTCTAGGAAGGAGGCCTGGATTTTCAAAGGTAGGGACACATGGAAATATAGGGAGCACTAGGAGTGTTCCTATCCCTGGGCTCTTTTCTTTATGAAGCTTTATGAATATAGTATCTTTTTGTAAGATAGGGGAGGTCTAATAGTCCCAGAGAAGGAACACACTGTAACTCAAGCTGGAAGGATGGATCAGATCAGCCCAGGGACTTATACCTAATAACCAGTGGGGAGACAGATTCAACAGCATTAGTTAAGGTCTCAAGAGAAGAGATGACTGTTGAGAATAAATTACCAATTCATTTGTCAATTTACCATATGTTTATAGAGTGTTTATTACTTGTCAGGCACTGTTTTGAGTACAGACGCCATTTTCCTGGAGATGAAGCCTGTGGGTGATGTTGCTAATTATAAGGAGATGCTACTGAATCACAGTAAGGAAATAGGAGCTTGATATTTTATTATCTTGGTTGGAAAGGAAGAGGATGGGGAGGGGTAGGAACTAGGGAAAGGGAAAGGGAGAGGGAGTAGTAGGGGCTATATTTTGTGCTGCATGTAAACCAAGTCCTCCTGGGGTGTGGGGTTGGCCAGCTGCACAGCCTCCTCTTGCTGCAAAGATGGTGGTTGACTGAAGTGGGCTGTCTGAAACCACACCATTGAATTTGTTGGTTATGAGTTGGAGTCTTGTCAGGATGTGTCACAGACTGGCAGGGGCCAAGTTGGTGCAGTCAGCCCAAGGCACTTAAACTTGCTATTTAGCACCGTTCTTAAAAGGGTTAGAAGAGCTGTTACGGAGAATGTTTCAATTTTAACAGGAATGTTTTAAGAAATGTCTCTGTCAGTTCTGGTGGTTCATCTGTTTGCTGGGGAACTATAATTGGCTTGGTCCTGATGTGTGGGCTGAGAGGCACAGGGTTCCCTGGTAGGGGATGAGTTAGGCACACAGAGTGTAGCATTCTTGGAGCTGCAGCTGTCACTTGCCTGCCTCAGAGCCACTGTTTCTGTCACAAGGGCTGAGAATGGAGGGGTCCATACCTAGGTCTTATCTCCTCCCATCCTGCCTTCCCACCACCTGTTATTTATTTATTTGTTTATTTTTTGGTACAGAGATCGAACTTGGGACCTTACACTTGTAAGGCAGGCAGCAGAACCACTGAGCTAAATTCCCAGCCCTCCACCTGTTATTTTTAGTGAGTGTCAAGTTTTTGTCTACCACACTTGCCCATGGACTCTCAAGGATCTCAGAGTCTGTGCCATCTTTTTTAGCTTCTTCATGATTTTCCTTCATAGAATTTTGTTTCTCTTTATCTTCCTGGAAAATGTGTCATTCTTTAAAACTTCCCTCCTGGGTCTGCTCAAGCACATCCAGCACTTGCAGTGTATCTTTATCCTTCCTGCCCTTCTTGTTTACAGACCTGCCCTCCCAGTCAACTGTTTTATCTCAGACCCTCCAGCTTGGAAGATAGTACTGTGTTTGGTACATAGTATAAGCACTCAGCAAATGTTGAGTGAATGAATAAACGTAGGATGCAAAGGGATGGTTCAGTGTCTGAAGTTAGAGATTCATGTTAAGAAACTACTTATTTGGATGCTTTTATTTATATATTTAAAACTATGTACTTATATAACTGAGGAACTTTTATCCTGGATGGAAATTTGGAGTAGTAGAAAGCACAGAGACTCTGGAGTGTGGCCTTGCAGGTTCAAGGCGTGGCTCTGTTACTTACCAACTGGATGACCTGGCCCATCACCTTGCTTCTTGGAACCTCAGGACTTTCATCTGTGAAAAAAGATCTCAGAAGTAGATATATGTAAAAAAAATAATTTCAAACGTAGCTATCTCAAAAGACTGTTGTGATTAATTGAGATAGCAACCAGGAGAGTGCTTTGTAATCATGATACTATCATTTAATAATATCATACCACTAATTTATTTTCCAGTACTGGGGATTGAAACCTGGGCCTTTGAACTAAGCTACATCCCCAGCTCTTTAAAAAAATTTTTTTGTTGTTGTTGTTAATCTTGAGACAGTGTCTCACTAAGTCATTAAGTTGCCCACACTGGACTCAAACTTGGGATCTTCCTACCTCAGCCTCCTAGAGTGCTGGGATTACAAGCTTGAGGCCCCATACCCAGCTTGTACCACCACTGAGTGTCTGTTATTACTTTATGGCTTCACATCAGGATCTCTCAGCAACACTATCATATTTTGTTTTTACTGGATAATTCTTTGGCATTATAGACCCTAGGAAGTTTAGCAGAATCCTTGACTTCTGCCCCACTCCCCAGTCAGCTGTGAATACTTGTCTGTCTGCAGATATTCTCACCCATCCCCTGGGGGCAGGGCAGGATTGCCTGGAGGAGAGCCCTTTCTTGGAAAGTATTCTCTGAGTCCTCATAGTTCTTAGAGGGGTCCTTTTACCAGTCTTGATTTAGAGGTGAAGAAACTGAGGTATAGAGAGCAATTACCCCAAAATGCTACATTCAAAGCACTTCTGTAAAAAGGAAGTTTCCCAAGCAGTTGTCCTGCAGGGCTAGAAAGATGGCAATGATTTGACTGAGGAGGGAGTAGCCAGACTATCCATCTGCTGTTATTTTCTGGTCCCTAGACCCTCTCCTCCGAACTGTGGGAGAGTACAGCACATGATCTTTAGGGTTCCTTTGGCCAGGGGAACTAAGCTCTCCTAACTTGGTAGGGACTGGGCATGTTCTGCATAGGTCACACACCATCCTGGCTCTTAAGACCATTATTTAGAATATATAAAGACCTTAAAACAATCAGCCCCCCCAGATATAAAGACCCGATTCAAAAATGGGCATCTGAAATGAACAGACATTTCTCAGACAAAGAAGTAAAAGCAGCAAGTAAATATATGAAAAATGTTCCACATCACTGGTCATTCGAGAGATGCAGATGAAAACAACACTGAGATTCCACCTCACCCCACAAAGAATGGCTGCTATCAAGAAATCAAACAATAACAAATATTGGCAGGGTTGTGGGGAGAAATGAACCCTTCTCCATTGTTGGTGGGAGTGCAGACTGGTGCAACCACTATGGAAATCAATATGGAGATACCTCAAAGAGCTGGGACTAGAGGCTCCATTTGACCCAGCCATCCCTCTGCTGGATATCTTTCCAAAAGAACTAAAAGAATCATATCACAGTGATATATGCACATCCATGTTTATAGCGGCACAGTTTGTAATAGCTAAAACTTGGAAACAGCCCATTTGCCCATCAGTTGGAAACTGGATAAAGAAGATGTGATTTTTCTATAAAATGGAATACTACTCAGCCATAAAGAATGAGAAAATAGATTCATTCATAGGAAAATGGATACATTTTTGAGGATATACTCCTAAGTGAAATAAATAAGTCACACATGTGTAAATGCCGAATAGTTTCTCTGGTGTGAAAAACTATAATAGTACATAAGGTCCTAATGAGATAATTGACAATGTGAAATAGGAAGAAAGGGGCTAAAAGCATAGGGAAAGTGGGACGGGTAGGGGAAAGCTAATAAGGGAAAAAAAATCTGAGAAAATTAAAAAATGGAAATGAAGTGTCTGTAAAGGGGGAGGGGAGGAGGGGGTGAAGGGGAGGGCAGGGACAAGGGGAAAAATGAGAACCAAGATCTGTCATGTAAAGGTACAAGATCCCAATAATGAATGTAACTATACTGTATCCCTAAAATGTACCAATAAACTCAATGAGGAAAAAAAATTTAATATGATGGCTATTGAAATGGGAATCCAGGGACATGGAGACTGAGTGTTATACAATCCAGGGTCCTTGCTCTGGAGGCAGACTAAGTGAAAAGCAGATAATGGAAAGGATTTGTCCACACCCATGCAGCAAGATAGCATCGATGCAAGATTTCTTTTTGGTATTTTATTTATTAAACAGGTGTTTATTTGGTACTACTAATGTGCCAGGACAAATACTGACATAATTTTCCTGAAGCCCAGGCTAGGATTCCAATTAAATTTGTATGCATCTATTACATCCTTTTCTTTTCTTTTTCACTTAGAAATGTATCAGGAAAACACATCAGATAGATAACACAGTGTGTTGTAAACTTTGAGAAAAGCAATACTTGTAAATTATATTACTAACAAGGAGCAACAACTCCAGACACTTTCATTATCTTTCACAAAGTGCTGAAAGTTATGCCAATCACTAGATCTAACTATATTCTATTATGAAGTTGGGTAACTAGGCAAATTCAAACCAACTAATTAGCATATAAAACCACACAGGACAAAAGCCAAACTACTGTCAAACAAATAGGCATTTCAGGAGCTGATCTGAGATTTAACTGGGATCAGGTATTTCATATTGTAGTATTGATATATATATATATATATATATATATATATATCAGAATGTCATGAAATAATAATTTTCTCTGGTTTCCAAGTCTTTCTTTATGCAAAATTTACCAAAGGGAGGGGGACATAAAACCTCTAAGTCCCAACCAAACTCTTATTTTCAAATATTTGTCAACAATAAGCACTTAAAATGTATTTAAAGTATTCACTTTGGGCCTGAGGGTGCGTTGGTCAGTGGTAGAATGCTTGTCTAGCATGCCCAAGTTCTGGATTCTGTCTCCAGCACTGTAGATAAATAAAATAAATATAAATACTTGAGAGTAAAGATGGTCTGTTGCTAAAAGAGTAAGGACAAATGAGAAAATTAAAATGGCTTTAAAAACTCTTCTTGAGCAAAAATCTAATAAAGGGGATGTTTATTTCATCTTTTGGTTAAAAATCAGCGTGTCACAAGTCATCCTACAGGAAGTGCTCCGAGACCCTGTTGCTATGCCTTTTAATAACATTGGAAGGCACCAAAATGTAAGGTGTATTTTAGCTCGGGACCCACCTCTGGGTTTTGGGAGAGCCACAGTGTAAATACCACTCCTGATGGCTAAGCTAAACAACACCTGGTTAGAGGCAGAATCTGTTACCGATGTGTAACATCACCACTGCCAACACGTTCCTTGGGGCTCCCAGGTTCACAGCAGACTATCATCCCTATGGACCTCCCATCCCTAGGGCGCTCAGCTCCAGAGCGGGTAGCCAAAGCAAAGGATACTTGAATATAGCATCTACCTCGGATCTGGTGCACTACATTCAGCCACCAGAGGGGCCCAGAGCGGCGCCAGGAAAGGGAGGGGGCGATGGGCGGGGCCTAGCACCCGGTAAAATCCCGGAGGCGGACCTGGCCAGGGGGCTTCCCCCTTTCCCCTCACTGCGCACTTCGAGGAGTTGGGCGGACATCGTTCCCATGGACGGAGCCCTAGTGAGGGCTGCACTGATAGTCCAGAGGGCATCTATACTTTATGGACCACCATCCTGGGCTGCCAAGCACAAAGGACGCTGGAAGACCTCCTTAACCTTTGGATAGTGGCAGCTGGAGCTGCTTATGGATAAGCCAGCCAGGATTCTTACCGTCCAGATACCATCTTGTCTGCCCACGCTCCACAGAGCTGTGCACGCACCCTTACCTTCCCACAGCTGCATTGCCACGGCTGCGCATTGAAGACTTGAGCAGACGTTTTTCCCCCTGCAGTCTGCGGCAAGGCTGTAAACCGGGCAGACATCTTTACCCCACGGACAGCGAAGGTGCACACTGTTGTGGTCACGCTCCAAGGACCTATGGAGAAATTGTTACCCTGCAGACTGTGGCACACTAGGGCTGAGCACGAATAACCCAACTGGCATGCTTACCGCGTGGATACTAACTACCCTGTGCGCCGCACCTCGCAGAGCTGGGCAGTCATCCTCACACTCTGAATGCCGCAGTTGCGACTGCGCACTAAAGATGGGGGGAGGGACCTTTCTAACCCTGCAGACTGCGTCAGAGCTGTAGCAACGGGGTGGACATTTTTACCCTGCAGTCTGCGGCACGGCTGGGAGCTGGATGGACGTCCCTACTTTGCGGATGGTGGCACATTTGCGCTGCTGCGCACCAATGGCCTTGAAAGACACCCTTATCCTGCAGAACGTGGCATTGGAGCTTCGCACTGATTATCCAGCAAGGCGACCTTACCTTGTGGGCTACTGCCCTGGGCAGACATCTTTACCCTCTGACAGCTGCATTGCCGCGACCATGTACTGAGGACTGTGGGGAGGACTTTGTAACCCTACAGACTACGCCACAACTGCAGGACCACGGCAGATGATTTTATGGATTATGCGGCATGGCTGGGAACTGGGTCGAATGTCTTACCCTGCGGATGGTGGCACCGTGGTGAGCTGCTGCCGCTCACCACGGACCCTGGAACATATCCTTAACTTTTGAGCCATGGAACTGGAGCTGCGCATTAGTAACCCAAGGGGGCGTTCGCATTTTGTTGGGCACCGCGTTGGGCGACATCGTTACCTCTGACAGCGGCATTGCCGCCGTTGCGCACTGAGGACTCGGGGGAAGGGGACTTTCTAACCCTGCAGACTGCGTCACAGCTGCAAGACCTGGGCGGAGGATTTTACTCTGCAGACTGCGGCACGGCTGGGAGCTGGACGCACGTCTTACCCCGCAGATGGCGGTGCAATTGCATCCTACTGCTGCACACCAAGGGCCTTGGAAAACAACCTTATGGTGTGAACCATGGTACTGGAGCTGCGTATTGATAATCTAAAGGGGCGTCCTTGTTTTGTCGGGCACCAACCCGAACAGACGTCCTTACCTCAGATATCAGCATTGCCGCGACTGCGCACTGAGACTGGGCGGAGTGGGACTGCGTCACAGCTGCAGGACCTTGGCGGATGATTTTACCCTGCAGACTACGGCAAGGCTGAGAGCGGGACGAACGTATTACCCCGCAGATGGCGGTACAATGACGCCCTACTGCTGCACGCCAAGGGCCTTGGAAGACAACCTTGTGTTGTGAACCGTGGCACTGAAAGTGTGCACCGATATCTTAGCGGGATGTCTTTGCACAATGAGCCACCGCCCTGGGCGGGCATCCTTACCCTCTGATCGCCGCATTGCCGCAATTGCGTCCTAGACTTGGATTGGTGGGTGGTTGGGGGAGTTGTGACTTCGCTGATTTTGGAACTGTTGCAGGACCTGGGTAGACGTTTTTACCCTGCAGACTGTGGCGCATCTGGGAGATGGACAGATGCCCTTACCTTGTAGATGCCGGCACAGTTCCTTGCCATCGTGTGCCAAGGATCTTGGAGAAGACATCCGAATGTTGTGGACCTTGGCACTGGAACTGCCCACCTATATCCCAGCAGAGCGTACTTACCCAGTGAGTCACTGCTCAGGCAGATGCCCTTATGTTCCGACAGCCGCATTACCGCAACTGCACACCAAGGACTTGGGGTGTTTGGTAGCTTTGCTGACTATGGCACTGCCACAGGACCTTGGTAGGCATTTTTATAGTACAGATAATGGCACTGGGAGCTTGACGGACGTCCTTACACTGTGAATGGTGGCACAGTGGAGCCGCACACTGTTGCGGCCATGAACCAAGAATCTGGGTGGATATCCTTATCGTGTGGATGGTGTAACTGAAGGTACGCATCGGTAAGCTAGCAGGCATCCTCACCCTATAGGCTACTGCCCTGTTGTGGCCACAGTAGGAGGAGCCTGGCAGAAATCTGCACTCTCAGGGACTGGGATTTAGCTCAGCGGTTCGGTGGCCTGCATTGCAAGCGCAAGGACCAGAGTTCAATCCCCAGTACCAAAAAAAAAAAAAAAAAAAAAAAAAAAGAAACCTGCACTCTCCCACAGCTACATAGCCGCGACTGCTCACTGAAGACCGGATCGGGTTTTCTAACTCTTTTGGTGCCGTCATAGCAGCGTTTACCCAACCAGGACCTGGGCAGGCATTTTTATTCTGCAGACTGCCAGGCGAATATCCTTTATGCTGCAGATGGCGGCATACTAGAGCCGCACAATCCAGCAACCGGAGACCAAGCACCTGGATAGTTATTCTTACTCTGGGCACGTTGGCAGAGCAATTCAGTAACCCAGCATAGCGGCCTTGCACTGTTGACCGCTGCTCTCCTGAAGTTTACACCGAGGATCTAGGCAGACATTCTTTCCTGGAAGACGGTGGTACGGGTGAGGTTGTGCACTGATAACTCAGTGGAACGTCGTTAAACCTATGGATAGCTGTGGCTGGTGGATGGTGGCGGCAGACGCTAAGGACTTCAGCACTTTTTTTTTTTGGTACCGGGGTTCTAACTCAGGACTTTGCACTTTCGAGAAAGGCGCGCTGTCACTGAGCTAAATCCCCAGCCCCATGAGCAGGGGTTTTTACTTTGCGGACTGCAGTGCGGATCTGAGCTAAGTGGATGCTTTTACCTTGGGGACACTGGCCTATTGGGCTATCATTGACCCTTTGGAGAGCCACATTAAGGTACAAGGAATAACTGGGTGAGCTGTCCAACCCTGCATATTGGTCACAGCTGCATCTGCAGAAGAAGTACCGGGGCTTGCAGTTTTATCCTAGAAACTGGCATTGCTGGGAGTTGGGCAAATCTCCTGAAGTATCCTTAATCTAGGAAACTTTGCATTATTGGATGTGTATTGAGGACGTGGCGGCAGTCCTTAACCTGGGGATGGCGGCACAACAGAGCTTCTTTTCTCTGCGAATAGCCGCGTGGTGGTTATGCTTGTGGATAAGGTCTTGGACAAGCTTTCTAATCTGCAGATGGGGGTGCATTTGAGCTATGCATTGATAAACCAGTGGAATATCCTTATCTTGCATATGGCCACCTTATGGCAGACACAGTTAGACGATCTAGGCGGATATTCTACTCTGAGGAAGGTGGTAGAGTGGTGCTGTGCACTGACAACCCGGTGGGACTTCTGACCTGGAGGATAGCCATATTTCCGTGGCTGTGAACTAAGACCCCAGGCAAACTTTGTAACCATATGGACTGAGGCAAGGCTAAGAAGTAGAGCAATGTTCTTTGCAGAGGGAGGAGCACTAGAGCCACATACTGCTAAAGTCAATGGAGTATCCTTGCCTTTTAACCACCACGTTGCCTGGGCTGCACACTAAGGATCTGGGCTGTTTCACCAATTGTGACTGCATCACAGCTACAGCAGATATTTTTACATTGCAGTCCTTGGCACAGCTAGGATCCTGTGAAAGGTGGTACAGCAAGGCTTCACACTGATAACCCAGTGGAACTTCTTGTCCTGCAGATAGTTGCATTGCGTGGTTGACACTAGAAGTCCTGCTGAAATTTCTAACTCTGCAGCCTGTGTCTCAGCAGCACTGGCAACCCAGGACCAGGGTGGGCATTTTCCCCCTGCAGATGAGCCCTTAAACTGATGGCACAGCTATATGTCCTTATTCTGTGAACTGGTGCATTGGTGTTGTTGCCGACTGAGGACCAGGGTAGACATCCTTGTGTTGACGGCCATGGTGCAGAGAAGCCGAGTGCCAATAACTTACCCAGGTGTTTTTAACCTATGGAAGGCAGCACTGCTGTGATGCGCACTCAGGAGCTGGGTGGACATCATTACTCTGGGATGGTGATATAGAGGAGCTGCATGCTGATAACCCAGCCAGGTGTTCTTACCTGCAGATGCCTGCTACGACTCATGGGGAATCTGTGCAGGCATCTTCACCTTCTAAACTTGGCAGAGATATTTCCCACCAAGAATCTACTTGGGCACTCATACTCTGCTGACAGTGGCATTGTTTGGGTTGTGTACCAAGTACCCAGGTATGCAGTTTTATCCTGTGGATTATGGCATAATTAGCACCTGGATGGATAGCCTTACCTTGCAGAGGGTGGCTTGGGGCACAGTAGCACTGGTAACCCAGCATGATGTCATTACCTTGTGGATGGTTGTGGCCACACACTGAGGACCTGAGCAATGTCCTTAATCTGAAGACAATGACCCAGCCAGGATGCATGCTGAAAAGCCAGCTGGGTGTCTTTCTGCTGCTTATGGCTTTGGCTGGAATCCCCACTGCCCTAGTCATACCCTGAGGGTGATGAGACTTTGGAGCTGCAACTCAGCTGGGTGAACCCATGCTGGGGGATAATGTGCTCCTGCACGAGTGCCTGGGAAGATGATGTTCCCTGTGGACATTGGCACATTGAAGCTGCCAGATGGATCTGGGTGCATTTGTGACATGATTCCAGTGGTTTGGGGCAGTCTTGAGTACCTTATCTCCAGAGAAGTCCAGAGGCCCCTGTTGGTTTGGGCTGCCTTCTCAAGCAGGCTTTGTGGGTGAAGCTACAAGTGCTTATTCTATTTTTTTCTTGCAATACTGAAGATTGAACTCAGGGCCTCTTACTGAAATACATTCTTAGCCTTCCTACCCTTTTCTTTTAATCTAGAGCTTTACTGAGTTGCTCCTAGTAGCCTTGGACATTCTATTCTTCACCTCAGCCTCCCATGTAGATGGGATTATAGGAGTGATACGACTGCATTCCTTGATTTCTTAGTAGGGAAACTGTCTGGTCCTCCTCTCTCTGCATTGTCTACATTTTCTGAGTGAGCTTACCACAAACTCATAACTTTTAGTACGAGATGAGGGGACTTCTGTGTTTATTGAATAACAGTGTGTTACACCCATTGTTTACTCTCCTGGGCATGATTCTCTCCCAGGTGTCTCCTGAGCATCACACACTGGGTGTACTTAAAACTGGACTGATTATCTGCTGCAAACCTGCTCTGCCTATGGTGTCCCCAGACTCAATGGACAGCAGCTCCAGCCTTCCAGCTGCTTAAGCCAGAGACCTCAGAGTCACTCTTAACTTTTTAAACTTTATAGTGAATCTGCTAGTAAATTCTATTTTCTCTGCCTCTTAG